GGGACTCGATCCCGGGACTCCAGGATCATGACCTGAGCCGAAGGCAGTTGCTTAACCAACTGAGCCACCCAGGCGTCCCATGTAACTCTTTTTTTAATATTTTTATTTATTTATGAGCGAGACAGCGAGCACACACACAGGAGCAGAGGGAGGGGCAGAGGGAGAGGGAGAAGCAGGCTCCCCACCGAGCAGGGAGCCCGATGCGGGGCTCGATCCCAGGAGCCCAGGATCACGACCTGAGCCGAAGGCAGACGCTCAACTGACTGAGCCACCCAGGAACCACAGGGTATGTAACTCTTGTGCATTCTCTTTGTTTGTTTGTTTTTTAAAAAGATTTATTTTAGAGAGAACACGTGTGCATATGTGTGTGGGGGGTGGGCAGGGGGAGAGGGCGAGAACCTCAAGCAGACTCTGCACTGAGCCCGATGGGGGGCTTGATCCCACAACCCTGAGGTCAGGACCTGAGCTGAGTCTGGATGCCCAACCGACTGAGCCACCCAGGCGCCCCCCTACTCCCTTCTTCGTAACAGGTCTGACATCCCTGAGGCTTGTCCAAGAAGAAAAATGAGAAGCAGATACATTCATGACGGCTCATTCATTCGATTTATTCTAAGGTTTCTTCTCTTTAGAGATCACTTGTCAGTTCTTTATCCCTCCCCTTGGGCTGAGACGGGTAAGGTGGCAGTCATGGAAGCCCAAACGACCACGTGGAAAGGGACTTAGACCAGGTAGAAAATAAATACTTCTAGAAGGATCACTGCTCGTCCTGGGCTATCACGGCCACCAGGGCTGCCTGCACCTCTTCCGCCTGGGCCGAGGGCAGCAGACAGTCTTGAATGAGGGCCAGAGCGGCCGCCTCTGTCAGACTGCCGAAATCCCGGGACGTTTTGACAGGGAGGTGCCCGGCCAGCTCACAGAGGGCGACATTGAACGCCTCGCCTTCCTTTACCCCAAAGCTGGACTTCCGGGCCCACAGAATTACGCGGACGCCTGTGAGAGCGGAGGAAGGTGATGTCTTTCCAGGTGGGGCCCCCCGGGTCACAAATAAATTATGGGCAATCTCATGGTCGGTCAGGTAGTCAGTGGCCCGACACACCCTGCCTATCAGGGCTTCCAGGTCGGGCCCCGGCCCGCCCGTGTAGAAGAGGAAGCCGGGAGCTGGGAGGGCCCGGAGCAGATGCAGACGGCCGCCAGGGTCCAGGGGCTCGCTCGGCGCCCCCTCCACGGGCAGTCTGCGAGCCAGGTAGTAGCCGTGCAGGTGCAGGTGGTTCACCGAGGCCGAGCCCCCCAGGCTATTGAAGCCGACGCGGAAGCCCGGGTGTGAGCTCAGCAGCACGGCCTCGACGCCGGCCCGCAGCGCGCCTGGCAGCAGGCGCTGGGGGAGCCCGCGGGTGGGCTCGGGCACCAGCAGCACGTGGCCCCGCTCCAGGGGGCTGACATTGATCATGACGAGGATGTCCTCTTGCCGGAGAGCACCCGGGCGATCGGGCTCCCGGAGCAAACGGAAGAGCACTTCTCCTGGCCGGACCTTGTTGAAGTTAAACTGTCCAGGGTCAAATGCCTGCTTCACGCTCCGGATGTTCTGGGGGCGCCTCCTCTGCACGCCTCGCTCCACATTCAGCTGAGCCACCAAACCCACAGCACCAGGGAGGGTCTGGGTCTGCAGCTCCCCCAGGCGGTAGCGGAAGAGCCCCAGGTCCATGCGCTGCCTCCAGGCGGAGCAGAGAGCAGAGTCGAAGCGAGACCGCGGCGGCGTGTCCAGGAGGCCGGGGGCAGTCCTAGGCCACTGAATCCCTTCCAGCACAAGTTCCTTCTGCCCGTAGACAAAGTCAGGAATGCCTTGCTCTTCCCAGTCCTTACTGTTTGGAGGGAGCAGATAGGAAGTCTCATTTGAATCCTCTGGAGCGGCCATGGCGCTGACCTGAAACAATCATAAGAGGTGAAAAATACATGATGTTGTCCCACTTCTAGAAATTTTATTTTATGTACTTTTAAAGATTTTATTTATTTATTTGACAGAGAGAGAGCGCGCGCGTGCGCACACAAGCAGGGCGAGTGGGAGAGGGAGAAGCAGACTCCCACTGAGCAAGAAGCCCTATGTGGGACTCGATCCCAGGATCCTGGGATCACGACCTGAGTCGAAGGCAGACGCTTACTTGACTGAGCCACCCAGGCATCCCTATTGAGTAAACTTTCTTAATGGAAGAAAAAAATCTTTAAAGATAAAATACAACCCTTATTCCAATGCCCGGAAAAAA